GCCCAAAGCAAATAGTACAACCCAAATATACATCATGTTCTTCACTCTCTCAAAATGTATTATTCCCTTTCTACCCCACATGCACATGCGCACTATCCCCTGCCTCGGTCTTAAACTGGGAGCCAAAAAACGAAAAGCCTGCTTTGGTGGTAAATATAAGATGTCAATCCCCTTTTTATTTTTTTTCCCCCAAATTACTTATATTGGTTGAATATATTGATGTGTGTAATTAATAGAGATAATTTCCCGTATAAATGATTAAAATGAGGATATTTTAGGAAAATTAAATGCATGTTTTTTTTCAGAAATAATTACTCCCTTAATCCTATTTATAAGATGAAGAGAGAATTTTTTTTATCTTATTTATAAATTACATCATTAATTTTTTATCACAAAATTTTTCATTTCCCTTCCATTTAATGTTAGTGAAAGAAAATATGTTATTAAAGTAGGTTTATTTATTTATTTATTTATTTTGGTCATGTTAAAGTAGTTTTATTTAGTAAAGGCAATTGCTAATTTATTAAATTTTTAGGTAGAGCTGATGAATTTAAATTTTTCTTTAATTTTGATAAAATATATTAAAAGTGACTTATAAATAATATTAGAAGAATGGCATAACTAATTTTCTTAATATGTTTGAATTATGTATTTAGTTTCTATATTTGTAACGGGAGGAAGTAAACAAGTGGCTAACATAAACGACGAAAATGTATATTTGTTTGGTAAGGTTTTTAACTCATTGCTCACATAAATATATTTTGGGAAGGAAGAAATGCATTATCGTACATATCCCTCTTAGCAAAAATTCAAACTTTGATTTATCACATTGTAAGGAATTAGCTATAACACCAATGTTTTAAACCTTGGTTAAGCATTTGATTAAGAGTTTAATTGTATTTTTTTGGTAAAATCAAGGTGTTTTGGCCAAGAGCTAACGCTCTTGGTCTTGATCGCTAGCAGATAAGGTTACAATGAAGGTCATTCATTTGCGGACATGGGAAGAGGGAGGAGGATTAATGTCTCAAGTCATGTTTGATTTCAGACAAGACACATTGAATGGTCATCTGCTCACAAACAAAAGGTGAATAGGCAAAATTCCCCTTTAATGTTTGCCTGTGCATGGACATAATTACAATGGGCACAACCGCTCGCGAGCAAATTCATTGACTTGGATTATAAATAGAGCTTTAGACTTCATTTATGGGAGAAGGGAGAGAGAGAGTGCTGAAGGTAGAGAGAGAAAGTGAGGGCATGCCATTTTAAAGCCTTGGAGCTTTGATTTAAACCTCCCAACCCCTATAGCAAGTGATTTCTCCCCCTCACTTTTCCTTTTTAATCGATAGACATTTAGGATTTATAAGGATTGTGATATTGATAGTGTTGAGGTCTAATTTTTAGGTTGATTGAAGACATTTTTTTGACTCCAAGAGATAATTTTAAGCTTTCCCTAACCTTGTTTGGAATTTTAGATTGTGGATTTATGAATATTATGGTTGTTGGAGAATACCTGTGTTGTTAGAAAATCAAATTTGAATTTTTAGGGAATTGATAGTTGAAGAATGTGATCATTGGATTAAGGTAACTTAGTTATACTCATTAGAATATAAAATTGCAATTGGATTGGTGGTTTTATTGAATTTATGGTTTTTAGGTGCATTTATTTTTGAAATCCCTTGAGATTTTTGGTCTTGGTTAATTGAAAGATAGTTTTGTCTAATAATTTACTCGGTTAGAAACTTTGGGTAATAAGGTTGCTATGTTTGAAATTAATTGAACTTATCATTTTAAACTCGAGACTTCTATTCAAAAAGGCCTTATTTGGAGATGAACAATGAAAATTGATTTGTATTGTAAAAATTGGTGTGAGAATTTATCATTGGATTTGACGGGATAAATTCTGATAGTTGAGATGCTTGGGATAATATTTTAGGATGTTGATTTGTGTATGTTTGTGCTTTGGTTGTTGTATGGGCCTTGTAGACATTGTTGTGAGCTTCTGAGTAACTAGGTTACTATCTTTGGATCATAGTATGAAAGTTGTTTGGCTTCGCAAAGTTATTTTAATTGTTTTTATTGCCCTTCGAACTTGCAGAGTTAGAAGTAACTGGGCTTAATCCTTGTTATAACATGGGCATACTAGATAGTTTTTGGGTGTTTGATAGTTTCTAGAAATGTGTTATGATAATAAAAAGTCTAGTTCTAATATGAAAATGCTAATATTCATTTAAGAGTGGTTTGTGACTTTTATATGAATATGCGTTGAAAGATGGTATTTTGTGATGAATATTGTTGTTGGAAAATATAATGATTATGAAAAATTGTAAGTAGCATATTGAAATTGTGGGAAATGTGAAAATGATTTACGATGATGAGTTTTGCTTGTGTGTATCTTGAAAATCATGTTGTGTACCTTACCTTGTGTTGTGGAAGAGTGTGTGTGAAAAGAAAATGCGATTGTATTTTAGAGCATGAATTATTGGGAGGTAACCTTTGTGATTTATTGTAGTTTGAGTGGTATAATTTATTGTAGTCCGACGGTGTATGACATACTATAGTTTGGTGAAATTTAGTAATTATTTATTAATTGATGGAGATTAGAGATAAAGGCATGCAACTCCAAGACTATTTTCTAAATTGACTTATATGAGATAATTTAATAGGCAATTTTGTAAAATAGGGTTGAGCAATAGGTGGGATGGGCTAACCAAAAGTGCTGCCCATATAATGCAAAACAGGTATGGGTTATCTTGTACCCCATAGCCAACTCATTCTAACTCATTAAAAAATAGGTTAGGTTAACTTGTATGGGTTTTAGTTAGCCATTTTATCTATAGAAATTGCAAAAATTCATTAAAAACATCATAAAATCACAAACAAGAGGAGAAGTTTGCATATTTAGAACTCAACTAACAAATTTATAAACCTAGAAAAAAGTCAATAAATTTGCACGATCTTACCAAAGGAGCAAAGCATATGAGGAAAATAGAAATAGGGGTAAAGAATAGCAAATATATAAGCAAGAGAGCGTGAAAGACAAAGAGAAATGGGTGTAGAGAGTAATAGATATGCAAGCAGGATATTTGCAATGATGACAGTGGTGACTCCTTAAGTTTGAGGCAATGACGATGACAAGTTTGTAGATCTAAAGGAGAAGGATGCGCGTAAGGCTTTAGCATCTTCAGTCTTCAGATCACGAGTCACAATGCATAAGGGTGCGAGATGCAAAGTCGGTCGAGGCTTCAGGCCCAGCTCAACAGCAACTTTAGCATTCATCTTCATATTACAAGGCAAGGCTTTAGCTTTAAGCCTTCAAGACTTTATGGTGCAATGATGGGAGATGAACCATGATTCACGAGGTGAGGCTTAGTCACTATTCTGTGAAGAGTAAATATTCCTTATCTTCAGATATGCGTGACTCTGCCAGTTAAAAAAAGATGTGTGACTTTAGCTTTAGGCTATTAGCAGGTGCTACAGTGCTGGGCCGTGTTTTGTGATGGGCCGTGTTTTGTAAGTGGATTAATTTGCTCAAGGTAGGATCCTAGTTTGACCTTAAGTATGTGTCCAATCATAGAGTGGTACAAATTTTGGTTTAACCCTTCCATTGGACTTAACCCCCATTGGTAGAAATGTACTATTTTATCTGCAAAAACATCTCATTTCTACATTACTGCATCCTACTTATGATCTACTGATCATGTTAAGAAACAGGTCTTATCTATTTGATTTGCCTTCCCCCTAAAATTCATTGTAACAATATTTTCTCTGGATGGCAATACATGACATTGGAAATCAATTCACAATTTTAAAAAAAGTTAGTTTAAATCTTAATTTCTTGATTTTTTTTACATTTTTTTAACTATATTCTCATTAAATACACTATATAAATACTTTAATAATAATAATTAAAATTTTATTGTATCATTTTTTTCAAAAAAGAGTCACTAATGAAGTAGGGGTATAGTTGAAAAAAAAATTATAACCAATGGTTATACTTTAGAACACACTTTTTAGAAGATGACAAATATTATGGTTTGAGAAAGGATAAAACTTATGTATTTAACCTTCTATACTTAATATATTTATATCAAATCAAATCATCAAGGCAATCAGCGACAATAAATGATGATTGAATGTACAATAAAACAAAGCTATCGTAATCCAATACCTCTGCACATGTAACTGAACAACGAAAAATGTTTGTTAAGCCACATATCCTAAAGCTCTAATAACATCACTTGAACAATTTTTAAAATTAAAAGAACCAATAAGATTTCTAGAATAGTAGAAACTGAAAGCTATCGGAAGCTTATGTTTGTGATTTTACGATTAATACCCTTATTCTCCTTATCTTTCAACCTGTTCTTCACTTTTCTATAATGCCATGCTTAAAACGATATTGATGGGCATAACTTGAGAAGCCCCCACTCAATGTTCTGTTTCCGATCAAGATCTAATTTTGATTGTAAAATAAGGGGTATGATCATGTGAGATGAACAGTGTATTGTACTACTAAAAAGAATCTGCATATTGTTCGCTTTCTAATGATTAATTATATATCTTGGATTCTTGACCAACAACGTAATGGCGCATTACCGTTATCATTAATCATTACTTGTCAAGTACTGATCTTGTTGGGGGACAAAGGCCCAGGGGCCAATATTATTATATTATTCAATAATCAAGCATTAATCTTTCTGATCAGTGCTTTAATTTGCTCCCGGTTTTATTTATCCTTTCAAGGATCTATCAACTTCGCACTAACACCACAATTCGCCCAATTTGCCAAGTTATATTTTGGCCAAAATTAAATTTGAAATCAGTTGTCATTTTGAAGGCGACTTCGAATTATCGTAATTACTGCTCAACATCGTCGAGTGAATAGGGTCTATGAAATTAGATCCGCTTTTTAAAAAACCATTTTTCTTTATCTGCTTAAGAAGACAAATGATGAGTGAATGACACGACTCATATATATATACACATATGAATAGGGTCTATGAACCGCAAAGCAAAGCCTGCAACTGCAAGCGCTATATGTTAATGCACTAATACTTGTTCAGCTGGTCGGGACTGAGAAACGTTGCAAACAACGATTTACAAAATACAAGAAGGGATTAAGAACCATTTTCCTCGCTAATAAAGAAACAGATACATCAGAGTTAAAAAGTTACACCACAGTTCCATACCATCATGTATATCTCGAAGGCTACACTATAGCATAAAGTTGTAATTAGACCGTTTTTGTTGTTGTTGGGTGTTCGATCCCTCAGGTGTAGGGTCTACCTCTTGCGTTTGGATTTCAAAGAGGTGACTGACTGAGAGTTGCTGTGCCAATTGCGTTTTCTTTGGTTGATGAACCAATTATTGATCTGCTTCAGCTGCAGACCTGTCTCCTCCACTAGTTTTGCCTTGTCATCTTCCTGCCAGTTTGCAAGTGATTATCCAACAGCCTTCTTAAACCAGATGCATTTTTATATATCTTAGGAAATATCTAAGAAGTTATTAGTTTCTCTTATATATGAGAGAACTGTCCAAGGTCATGCATCATAACACAGAAATACACAAAGGACAGAATAGTTCTTCAGGAGACAAATTTCTGAACGTAGAACTTTGTGATATTGATGGTGGCAGCAGTAAGTAATAAATTTCTACGTCTAGAGTTGGTTTCACATTGACAAAAACATCATGAATAGAGCATGAAAGAGTAGATGAAGAATAAAGACGTTTAAACTCGTTGGGGATACACACAATAATTATTTATGAAGAAGATGGTCACTGGGCTTACAGTTGGGTAGGGCCACTTTGAATGTTGCTGCCACCAGTTCTTCAACACTGAGGTTGTGTCACCAGGTAACTTCCCTGCTCTTCTTTTCCTTAATATTTCCTCCCTGACATCTTCAATTCTTGACTTGAAACCCTAAAGATTCAATATTTGAGTTATTATTCAGAAGGGGAAAAGGAGATAAAAGAAAGTTAAAAGTCACTTTTCTATAGGAAGGTGATTTTGAGAATAATTAACCTGCTTCAGCTCAATCTTTAGTTCCTGACGAACTCTTTCCATCAGTGACCTTTCAGATTCCGTGGGAAGCAATGGACCAAATCCCATCATGTCGTGACCTTCAGCGCCGGATTGATCTAAAGAAAAATCCATCGGCAAATCATCTTCATCATCTGACATTGTTGCACCGCTTCCCTCACCCAGACTTACACCTGAACTTTAACCATTTATGCCGTTAAGTGCATCGGAGTTAATTAGCCTCCTCATAGCTCTCGTATTTTGAAAATGTGAAGTACATAACACACCCAATTATAGCATCGATCCAGTTCTATCTCTAGGAGATTAGAACCAACGAGATCGATGGAACACTTTTGCCTTTTCCATGAGATTTTATTTGGGGGAATTCGCAGCATCAATAATTACTTACTGATGCTTAGTTTGACTCCAGAACTTATATAATTATGCATAAAGTTTAAATATTATATGTATTTACTATATATACCTATTCATTATATATAATAAATTTTTGAAAAATCATTTTACCAGTAAACTTAAATACGTTTTCTAATATATTTGCGCAAAGACTCCAGCACGAGAAAAAGCATGCATTTTTGAACAGCCTCGGTCATACAAAATTGTACCATGTTTCACTAGGCATATATTTTTCTGGAAGAAGGTGATGTACAATAAGTTCTAGAAAAGTTGTTCTCAAGCTGTTTTCTATAATATCCTGAAGGTAATACTATAAAGAGCTGCCTCAAAGTTGAAGTCTCTCTAAAAACTATCCAGATCTGCGTAAAATAACTTTGGATCACCGTAGATATAAACCTAGAGGTGATCCAACACAACAAAGTCATAGTTTTAATGCAAAAAAAAAAAAAAAAGGGGTGCATCGACATGAATAGAGAGGATCCACATTACTCCAAAACGAGACAGCCTACCAAGTTGTTCATTATTCTTATCGTCCTGAACCTAAACAGAATGGATTTAAGCACGTGGATCATTACAAACTAAGCACGTAGCAGAGACACACACATAAAGAGGTTAATTTCACTCGGTAAAGAATCATCGAACATCAGTATTTCACATTGACATCCTTGTATGTTGTATGAACTATAGATGTTAAATCAATAAGCAAACTCTGAGATACAAACTTCAAAAAGAAGTAATAGAAAATTTTAGGGATAAACATATAAATCTGGAAGTTCCTTAATTTTAGGAAGAAAATTATAAATATGATACGGAACCACCAGAGATATTGCTGGTAGCGGGTGGGACTTCCACTGCTAGCCAAACTAACTACATAACATTATAAAGCAGACCCTACCAGTCCCACTGATTTCCCTCTTACCTAAACTAAATGACAACGAAACCTATAGCTTATTTCTGCCCTTCCTTTCGAAGCGTGTCCAACGCAAGAGAAAAAGTGAATTCACATCTTACCAAGAAATAAGATATCTCACTCTTACATGTCTGAGATCTCTACACAAGCCCAGAATGGCATATAAAACAAGTAAACAACATAGCCCCCCTCCCGAGGAAAAAACAGCAGTATCAACAATAGGTTGTTTATACGTTTCTGCCTAATATTAGTGGCGTACGCGTGTGTATATATGTGTATATCATGCAGAAACAATCATTATTTCACCTATCTAGAACAAAATAATAAGAAAGATGATATTGATACGGGTTGAAATATAAAGAATAGAAGTGGAGAGTAAATATACCGGTGAGAGCTTGTAGGGTATTTTCAATATCACGGCAGGCCATGACAGCTTCGACAGCATGAACTTTGACATGTTGTTGAAGCTGTTCTTTGAAAGAACACAACACTAACAAATATTGTGCCTGCGAAGTGATGTCCATGACCATGAAGCCTCAAATTAATTGAAAAAATAGAACAAGAAATAGTAGCAAAATTAATCAAATATGTACGCTGAAACTTTACCAGGAAATTGTCAAGGTCCTGACGCTCAGGAAGTGAAAGGGTATGGGTTTGCTGCGAGGCGTATGAGCGGAGGATATGATGTGACTGCGATAACTGAGCGTCGATGAGTGGAAGCTGATCGATGGGAGTGGCGACACGTAAGCAAGCAACGTGCGCAGCGAGAAGCTGGTCATAGAGAGGGTGAGTGGCTATCTCCGCCTTGAGTTGTCGGAGGTGGTCACCGGAAGTCATGTCTCCGTTAAAACCACCGCCCATCATTCCCAAGCTCGGTTCTGATTGCATTTCCTGATATGAATGAAGTAAAGGCACAGAGCAGAAGCAACAGCCAACAGGCAAGTGAATTGATTAACGCGAAAAGGATTGAAGACGAGGCAGCGAATTATAAAGGGAAAAAGATGTGAGAGTTGAGGACCACTCTAAGGCACGAATTAGAGGAGGGAGCTTTGGTGGGAGATCGTGTTTTGCCAGGAGAGAGAATTGGACGGTTTATCGTTTTCGGGGAGAGGGAGAGAGAGAAGCCTTATATAGGGATCTGGGACACAAAACTTTCCGCTCTTACTACTGATAGAAACAAAGATCTTTACAGACACTGAGAAAGAGGAAGATGCAGAGGCATTAAAACGATTTATATGCGGGTGCTTGTGCGTCGCTGCGCGTGAGAGAGAAGATGGAAAAGATCAAAAGAAGGTGTATTCAAATTTTGTTTTGAATCTGTGAGAAGATGAGAGAGGGAAAGAGAAAAGGAGCAAGCTGCAGAATCATTACTATGAAAGGAGCTTGGAAGCGAGGTCAGGAAAAGAAGATAAAGCTGCTCCTGTGGCCTGACAATTTATTTTATTTTTTTCTTTTTTTTTTGAGTGTGGAAGTGTCCTTTTTTTTTTTTTTCAGGGCTAAGGTTAGGTGCGTTGATGTGATGTTGATTGGTGATCATAATTTTGGGTTGTCCGCAGACAATTGTTTTCCCACATGGTTTTTGTCATTAGGCTTAAGAATTATAGAGTACACTTTTTACACAGTTTTGTTTGTCGACGGACTTCTGTTTTCCTGCCTCAAGTCAAGTTATTAAAAAGAAAAAAAGATAAAATCCACAAATTTCATTTTTAGTTTTTTTTTAATCTTTTTTCTTCCCACCAACCTTTATTGAGTTCGAAGCTTGTTAATTAGTTGTTTAGAAAGTGAGGTGAAGTCTGGCGAAAAACAAAAAAGAAAGAAAGTGAGGTGAAGGTTGAGCTTTCAAGGATTTCTCTTTTTCATTTTGAACTATCCTTACTAGTTAAGCTTAAATTTTTCATGAATAAAATTGTTCAAATATTCTGGTATGGTGGGTGAAATCAAATCAAACGTACCTCATTGCAGTTAGCAAAAGGCACCTGTCTATTATTTAAATTTAAACTAAGAAAAAAGGTGACACGTCACCAGCAAATGTGTAATTAAAGGCTTTAAATTAATATCACCATTCGGTAAGGCCTATAATTGGAGTACCAATGTCCAATGCAAATTGCCATTGTCACCCACCATCTCAATATTTCCTCGTATTTGTTACGTCCCTCCAACTATACCTTCTACACTAGCGTGTCTATTTTCATAAATCAATTGATGTGTATTATAATTAATTATTATTTTATGTGACCAACAAAAGATTCGGATTTGAGGAGTAATATATAAGGTGGGTAGACTGGGTGGTTCTATGTATGTGGTAGGAACTGTAGAAGTTGCTTAATTGGTGGTGGGTACATGGTGGTTGAACCTAAAAAGATAAAAAATAAAGAAATTAAAAATTAATTAAATATGAACAAAATGAAATGAATGTAGGCGCTTTACTTTTGTATGTTTCAAGTGTGGGTGGTAGCGTTGAAAACTAGGAAGCGTTTTATCCAAAACTAGCATGCTTTCGGTTTGCTTCCACTTGAAAAAAAAAAAAAACCAAAGCAAAAAGAGTGAAATATATCTAACTGCTCTCTTGTATTATAAGACACATTTTATAAGAGATATGAATAATTATGCATATGGGGAGTTTGTGGGGAGCCTCCCTCCTCTCTCTCGGGCATAGGATTTCTCTCCATGTAGTTTAGTTGCCACCCACTGTGGCGTTTTGTAAGGATTGTCTTCTCCATCATTTTATGCATTCTTTGCTACCTACTTGGTTGAATCTGTGAAGGTGGTTTTTGAGTGTTGTGATTTTTCTTTTCCCTTTTTGTTTATTGTTTCTTTATTTGTTCTTTAGGTCTTGTGGAGATTCTCAGCAGACCTTAACCGATAGTGGGATCAAACCTTAAGGGTATGCATTATACCAAGCCTTTAAGAATTAGATCACTAGAAAGACTTTAGGATAACTGTACTACCAGTGTATCCTATCTTAAGTAAATTGGATTCGAAAAAATTTCACTCTTTACCCTACTAGGGATATTTGAGGGATAAACTTTGAAAAGAGGAAGGATAAAAAAATGTCATTCCAATTTTTCCTGTGACTTGCTTCAAGTTTTCGAAGAGAACTTGTTTTGAATTAAATAGTTTTATGGCTAACTTTTTTTGGGTCAATCTAAATCTAGGAATAGCATTCATTGAAAGGCTTGGGACAAATTTTGTGCCCCAAAAATAGATGGAGGCTTGGGTTTGCAAGATTTTATGAGTTTTAATGATGCATTGCTCACCTAAACTGCCTGGTAGGTTCTTCAAAATCTAAATGAGAAGTGGGTTCAAGTCCTTAAAGTTGTTTAATTTCCATCCTGCTCCTTTTTACAAGCAAAAAATGGTCTTAGAGCCTTATAGGCTTGGAGTAGTATATTAATAGGGCGAGACCTCTCCTCCTTAAAGATGCTTGCTTTAGACTCGGCTTAGGGCGTTCCCTTGATCAAAACCCTTAGATTCTAGGTTTGTCCAACTATAAAGCCATTTAATGATGCTATGCTTGAAAAAAATTTGAAAGTAGACGCCCTTATCTCAAATGGTGCTTTAGAACTTGGATCCTATCCCTAATCTTGTCACTAAAGATACTTTGGATTTAAGTAAAAAATTTGCATTCCCTTGCTACTACTAGAAAGAGTCATGTTAGTGAGGACTTAATTATTTCTCTCTAAATTACTGCATTAGCAAAGAATTTTGTTTCATCTCTAAAAAAAATTAGCAAGGAATAATATATATCTTTCTCATTTATCTAATTAGCGAGAAATAATATAATCCTTTTTAAATGGTCTAAATAATGAGAGAATTAGTCAGGTAATATAATCCTTTTTAGTTAGCGAGGAATTAGAGAGGAATAGTTGTTCCTCTCTAAAAAGTTAATAGTAAAATAAAAAAATAATAATGAGAATTAAAAAGGTTTAACTTGTATTTATTTTTTTAAAAGTTCCTATTTTACCAAAAAAAAATCTATTATTTTATATTATCTTATATATAAAAAATTTTTTCTAAAAATTTATATTATCTTATATATACTTTTCTTAAAAATATTAAACATCTTATACGTAAATAATTGTTTTTACTTTATAGATTATATTCCCTCCATATTTTCTTTTTTTCATATAAACTCTAACCCAATATCAAGTCTCAGCTCAGGAAACCTTGCCTCTCGCCCAAAGTCCTGATCGCCTCTTTGTTCTCTCTCGCCTCATATTTGTGACCTTGTCAAAGCCATCATCGTCCGTCGAGCTTTGATCCAGTCTAAAGTTTGCCTCCATATCATTATCATCTTCTCAAATTTTGCCTCGCATCTGTGTCCTTGTGAGTGCTATTATCATCTATCAAGTTTTACCTCCTCCATCTCAGCTTCTTGAATCTTGCCTCACATTCATGCCCTTATGTAGGGGTAAGCAAAACCGAATCGAAATCAAAAATCGAATCAAATTTTATTTATTTGATTCGGTCTATTTGATTTTTCGATTCGATTCGATTTTTTTATTTTAAATATTTTGGTTGATTGGTTCGATTCAGTTAGTAAAATTTAAAATTGAATAGACCGAACCGACCGAATTACATATAATTTATTAATTTATAAATTATTTTTATTTTATTTTTATTTTTCATCACTCATATGTCTGTTTTATTACAATTATATATTTAGCATGGTTGTGACTAGATTATGATATTATGACTGGATCATGGAGCTATTATTTGATCATTGGTATTTATTTGTGGTTATTTATTTGATTATCCATGCCTTTATAATATTTGGGTTTTATGTTATATGGGTGTAATTAAAATGGGTTCATATTGAAAAAAAATGAATAGAAAAAAGGCTCAATTTTATAGTGTTGTTTATTTTAATAATTAAAAAATAGGCCTAATTTCAATAGCCCAATATGAAACTAAAAAACTGAATTAACCGACTGAACTGAATTATCAAATTTCGGTTCGGTCCTTGTTCGATTTGATTGGTTTGTTTAATTTAATTTTCATTTTCAGTGTTATTCGATCGATCAGTTTTGCATATTTTGGAACCAAATCAAACCGAACCGACCGATACTCACCCCTACCCTTATGAGTGTGAGTAAAGAAAGTGCCTCTCGTTAAGCAGCCGAGCTCTGTCCTTCCTTGGGTTCATCATCCTTGCCTCCTTACTCCCTCTATAGTGTGAACTTTAAATCAGATTTAAATCTATAAAGCTCACTCCCTCTGGTCTTTGAGATTTTGAGTAATCTCTATTTTGTTCCTCACGGGTATATCACTTTTTGCTATTTTTTTTGAATTTTTTCCTTAATATTTGAATAACAAGACCATAGCAATTTTTGATTTGTGGACTTGTGGTAGCTTACTTTAGGCAACGAACTCAATTTCTATTTATTAAGATTTGGAATTCTAGATTATTTGAGAAATATTGTAAGACCATATTTTCATATTGCAATAAATCTATGATGCCTTTTGTATATAGAGTTATGGTTTGGATGCATGCTGTGGACTCAAGTTTGTTTATTCTATAGTTAATTTAACTATTTGTATTGATTTATTGGATTGGATTAGGAATCATTTGTGCAATTGTGTTGGGTTGCGATGCTAATTCACTTCCTTTTCTTGTGAAGGTAATTGGTTTTAAGACAAATGACTTTGCTACTGATGTAATACAATCACGCCTTGCTCTTGTTTTAGTATGAACAAAGATCAAGTTGATATGCGCATTTATCTTCCTGATATTATCCCTTTGCTCTTGTTTCAGGATGTTCACTGCCTCTTGCAAGAGATTGAGGATAATGAAGAATTCTAAATCAATTGGCATAGGTAACCTTGTTAATTAGCTTCATTATGTCTACTTTTGCAATTAAAAAGAATAAAAATCATATTTTTAGTAGGACTTGCCTCATATGATTGTGATAGAATATTACAATTGTTGATAATGTATCGTTCCTATGCTTTACTAGCTGTCTACAATTTAAACATATCTGCTCATTTTTTTTGTCCAAGGTTTCGTTACAGTGCAATTGTGGTTTCTTTTGTTCATTTATATTGCATTATTTCAGCTCATTCCATAGAAGAGGCAGAGGTCTTATGTGACCGAATAGGAATATTCGTAGATGGAAATAATTTATTTTAAAACTTGGATTATTATTATTTTAATTGTTGTATATACAGCTTTATACACAGCCCTAGAGGTTCTTATTTGTTAGAATTTTAGCTATTGAGTATAGATTGAGATTATTGGCCACTTATTCTTCCCACAAGTTCTCTCCATTTCTCCCAAGGTTCTTAGCCAGTCCTTGTCTACTTTGGCATGGACATATCATGGATTTTCCTATAGCTACATTTCTCTTTTCCTTATCTTTCTCATGTATAGTATTTGCCTTCGGATATCACCTATCAATCTAGAAAATTTATCAGTAATACATTCCATTGGCACTTTATCTTTCTTTAGCTTCTTAGCTTTAAATTCAACATGTTCTCTTTTACACTTGGCGGTTACAATAGCAACCAAATTTTCCCTGTCACACCTGAAAAATGCGAAGCAAATGGTGCGCCAGCAGAGGTACCGACCTTCGAGGCGAGCACCGCATGAATGAGGAGTTGCCACTAAAATTTTGAAGAAAATCTTGAAAAACTAATTAAAAGAGGATAAGGATGGTCTGTGAAAATAAAAAATAGGTTCGGAAGTCGATTGAGTGTGGGGAAGGTGTTTGGCGGCACAACACCCATTTGTGAGAATGGTTACCTGAAGTTTATTGTGCTATATTAATATGGTTTTAAAACTATTTTAATTATCTCTTTTATATTTATGTGTTTGATATAAAAATGATAAGAATTAAGTAAGAAATATTTATTTATTTACGAGAGAGGACTTGACTCAGAATTTGACTGTGAGGCCTACGTACCCTGTGATAGGGATTAAAGTCCACGTAGTTCGAGCTTGAAAGTTGTTGGTGAAAATATTTTTTTTGAAAAAAAATTAATTAGAAATAATTCACCATTTTACAAATAAAATAATTTTTAAAATTTTGATATGTATGTTTTAAATTGCAAAAATTAATTTAATTTCACTTATTTTCTCAATTTTTAAATTTTTGGAATAAAGAAATAAAAGAGTTTAAAATTATTTTTCTTTTATGTTTTATGATTGGAAATTTTAATTGCTATACTTGTAGAGCCTTATTAGTTCATACGTTAATGCAGTTGTTCTAAACATTTGTAGAGATTCTAAAATCTCGCACGATAAAAAAATTTAGCAATTTATTTATATTTTTAAGTGTTAATAATAATTTATTTAAGTATGTATATGTATATATATATGTTTTTAAAGAATTTTAATCGTCATACCTGCAAAGCTTTATTAACTTATACGGTAACATGATTATCCTAAATATCTGTGGAGATTCTAAAATCTCACATGATAAAGGAATTAAATTTATTTAAATACATTTTTAGTTTAATTAATTTAATATATAATTTATATATATTTTAAAAACTTAATCGTTATATTTGCAGAGTCTTATTGACTCATACGTTAACACAATTATCTTAGAAGTTTATGAAGATTCAAAAATCTCACATGACTAAAAGATATAATCAGTAAATGTAATTACAATTTAAATACATTAATTTGGGTTAATTAATTTGCTAAATTGTGAATTATATCATTATTTATAAAAATTATTTATTTATTATAAAAATTAAAAATCACTACATCTACGAAGACTTATTATCCTACATGATAATGTGATTAGTTTAAGTCTCTATAAAGATTCTTGAAATCTCACATGGGACTTAAATAAATTATTAATTTGAATTATAAAAAGAGAGTTAACTTTAATGATGGGCCTTTTGAACCCATATTAACATATAAGTTTTACTTTCATATTTGCAAAACTTTATTAATGTACACTATACGAGATTATCTTAAATATCTGCAGAGATCCAAAGTCTCACATGATAAAAGGATTAAATAATATTCATTTTAAATATATTTTAATGCATAATTATACAATGCATATTTTTAAATATAAAAATATTAATCATTATACTTATGAAGTCTTATTGACTCATGCGGTAGTATGATTACTCTAAAGGTCTACGGAGTTTTAAAAATCTCACATGACCAAAAGATCTAATTAGACAATATAATTAAAATTTATATTTTTTAATTTAATTAATTAATATTATAAAAAATATTTATTATTTTTTTAACAAAATTCATATAAATTAAGAATCGTGATATCTGTGAGGATTTATTATCCCACATGATAAGGTAATTAATATAATTCTTTATGAAGATTCTTGAAATCTCACATGAGACTTAAATATTTATTATAAAAAAAATTAATTTTAATAATGGCCCTTCGAAACCCATATAAATACCTACAAAATTGATACTCATACTTGTAAAATCTTATTGATTTACACGGTATGAAATTATTTTAAATGCCTACGGAGATTTTAAAAATCTCACATGACAAATAGATAATTGAAATATCTACATTTATAGTCAGTGCATAATATTATGGTTGGCTAGATAATTCATGCAATAAAGGCAATGAAAAGAGTAGAGAAATAAACTATTTTGACAATTCACTATTCTTTTGACTTGAGGATATATTCTAAAAAGAATTTAGATTTGGCATAAACTTTTAGCAGGATTATAATTTTGAACCACAATCACCCCATAAATTATCAACAATATTATCACAGGCTCTCTTTTTTTTATTTTGTCAAACACCTCTCAGATATGTTCTAAATAAAAACATTCAATTCCTGAATCTTTAATGCCTAAATACATATCTAGATCAATCCACACTCTCAATATCTATCAATATATATATATATATATATGCATGTGTTTTTATCAATGAATCTATATTAAGGAAGATAACTTTAAATATTACCTGATTTAAGCTATGGTTCATTCTTCTTCTGCTCTGGGCTAGCTTGAACTATTCTAAAAGCTTCCTATACATAATGCTCAGACACACTTCTTTGTCTTTTTTTTAAAAATTTATAATGCGTCCTCCTCAGCTCTCCAACGTTCCTCTCCTTCATTTCCAAGTGCAAATCCCATCTCTAACAACTTGGCAATAGCTCGGTTTGTCTCCAACACATCTCCTGCTATGTTTTTCTTTTAATTTTCTCATCCGTTCTCAATTCTCTCATTCTTGGTGCTCTATTTTCTTCTTTTTTGCAACATGCCTTGCTTACTCCTTTTCGTCCAGTCATTTGTGCTCTATTTTCTTTTGTGCTATTTTTTTGTTTTCTTTGTGCTCTCTCATTCTTCAGTTTTATGCATGCTGTCTGTGTTCTCTCCTTGCTCCCTCTCTTCCCCATCTCTGCTTCTCATTTTTTCTCAATTTTGAATCAGTGCTCCTTCTTCCTTGGTGTTCTATTTTTCTCTCTGTCTCAAATCTGTCTTTTTGCTTCTAATCTCAACCTCATCTCTCTCTCTCTCTCATTCTCTATCTCTCTTTCTTCTCTCGGTCTCTTTTTTTCTGTGTTGTTTCCTCTCTCCCTTTTGTATTTTCTTCATGCTCTATTTTTCTCGGTTTCCTTCTCATCTCTCACTCTTTGTCTCCTTCTCATTCTCCATCCTTTCTCGAATTTGCTCCTTTTTTCGTGCATGCTGCATTTCTGCTCTTTATCACTGAAGCTTGAGATCTTCCTCTTGCCATGAACATCTGGGTTCCCTTTGCTCCCACTGATCTGCTCTGCTCGTTTTGTGTGTGTTTCGTTTCTCTTGTCTAGTCTTTTCTGCATCTACTATGTTCTGCTTCTTTTTCACTGGTGTTTTCTCTCTACCCACCAAAGGTCTGTGTGTGCGCATCATGGTTGCTTGCTGCTCCTTTTGCTGTGTTTTTCTACTCGCGTGAATGTGTCTGCTATGCTTTCTATTTTCTTTTCTATTTATTGTCTGCTTTGCTATTCTTGCGTGTTTGTTTCTGCTTCTTTTGTTTTCTTCTTTGTGCAGGAACGTGCATGACACATGAAGAACCAAACTAAGTTTACATATTTTAATATTAATTGCTCTTTTCTTTTTTTAATTACATTTAGTAATTTCTAAAATTAGATTAAGGGACTTAAAAATCTGATCTTCAATTAAACAAATATTTTTTAAAAATATAATCCTAAAAAGGATTAAATTTATTTTCATACATATATATATATTGTTTTTTTCTTTTGAACTAAAAGAACTAAAATCCTAACCAATAAATCTAAGATTGTTGTGCAAGGCTTTCTTGATTGAATATTATGCTTTCCTTTATTTAGATATACTTGATTAGCATCTAGCAATCCAACTTGCTTTCTTAGCTTTGTCACTGGATTTATGTGATTGCCAACAAATTCAGGAGTTAAACATTTAGACTTGGCATTCTTTACACTATTAACTACTTGCGAGCTAGCACACTCTTATTGAATCTTTCTAAAAGCCTTGAGAGATAAAGACAGTTTATTAGCCTTATGAGGTGATGATGTCATCCTTTGAACCTATAATCAAGACAAGACAACCAAGAAACTTAGAATTAGATAGCCAAGTGATCTAGGTTTGCCAGAGATATTATCATATGTGAAGCCAAAGGACTGACCACTCAAAAACAAAAACCAAGCAAGAACATGGGCAAACAAAGACATCAATTATTGCATAATTATATGTCATATTTATATGTATTCCCTGGAGTCTAGGAAGTTAACTTCAACTAATGATGGTCAATCTAAACTATAACCCTAGCATCCATTAATAATATAATTCAAGTGATATGAAATTCATATACGCAAGTAATACTAGAAATAAAAATCCAATTATATTATACATGCCATATAAGGAAGGAGGATATGAAGGCACATTAACTCAACCCTTAACTATTCACAAATTCATCATATGCATTTTGTGACTTCCATCCCAATCTTTGGCATGAATGCTTTGGCATGGACATATATCATGAATGCTTTGGCATGGACAAATCACGGAAAAAATCCATCCTAATCTTGCACACCTAATTTTCCCTGTTGAACTCTATTTATATGATGTTGTTGGAAGATTATTCATTAAACATCAATAAAATTTAATTTTACTTTTACTTTGGATGAATTTTGTGTTCAAATCCCTTATTGTTTGGTACCTGTTTCTATGGTTTTATATGCATTTCATTGCTTTCTAAGCTCTAGAAACAGGGTTGATTTCATATAATGTTTCTTTAATCCTCTAAATACCTACCTATTGCTGTGAAACAAGTGTAGAATAAATCTATATATTAGGTGAGTTTGTTTTATTCTAACTCTTGAATACTATTTGATCATGAGCCCATATAACCATCTTTAGCTATGGTGACCCTTGCTAATATTTTTTTATCTACAA